CCACTGTTACACATGTACAAACACAAACTTCACCCGTGATCAGGGGTTGGACCGGGAGACACTCAGCATGGCATCCGCCACAGTAGTTGGACCTGAGAAAACAGAAAACAAAAATAAGTAAATAAACAAGAAGCCATAGGTGACAATCCTCTGTGAAGTTTTACATTTTGCAACAAAAATAATCCCAAGCGTCAACGCCGAGCTACTGTGCAGACATAACGGTTAATACAATGAGGGCGCGTCATAACCATAAAACATAAAAAGACCTAAATCCATTACTGCTCTCAGAGCGTGTAAAGATACTGTGCTTCAAGTTCGAAGTCCATTTTAATTACACACACACAATCATTGCATTCACATAAAGATTGGACTATCATGGTCACTAGTAACAAAGACAGCCCCACCATCTTACCGTGCCTGTTACTTATTAAGCGCGACTGGCAAATTCCAGCAACAGTTGCGGCCAGCACCGCGAATGTTACTGCCGTGGTACCACTTATCGGCCCCTCACCATCTGCCTGAAGTTCCACCCCCCCCACTGCTATTCCAAACAACGGGTTTTTCTGGACAATTCCAATTTGCCTCATAACTATAGGGGTGCATCTGCAATATTACATTGACCGCGAAAGCAGCAACGGCAAAAATACACATTTGTGCATCAACACGGGCATGCCCGCAGACGGCGTATAAAATTGCATGCCGATTACACAAAGAGAACCCAGTGTTTTGACTGCGAACACGAAAAAACGACTCTTCACAACACTCCGTCCGGAGGTCCTGACCTCCTTCACGGAGTAATAATCTTGTTGGATAGGCAATGGAGTCAGCTTATCTACTGCAGACCTGTCGTGTAGACAGCGCGTGTTGTCGCTCGCTCCTAGCCTCTACCAGGCTTGAGGGCGCGGCTGGAAATAGTAGAAATTGGCCAAATAGAGAGATAACACACCGAGGGAGTTTAGCCATCCAGTTTACAGTTTGCCGGCAAACTGTAAACGTAAACGGCAAACTGTAAACTGGATGGCTAAACTCCCTC